TTCTTTTTTTGGACCTCGAATTGATGTCGAAGAAAAAAAACACAGCTACAACGAGGGAAATCGAAGTTTTGAGTCCATGGAAAACCTGGAAAAATTGACAGCTTTGGACGCAATTTCCAGTTCCTGGAGGCTACTTTGAACGCGGCATTATGAAAGTTCCTCTGTTAGAGACAATAAAAATTTTTAAAAATTTTTTCATACACAAAAACAGCTGTCCCTTTGAATTTATGCTCATATTTTTCCGAACGTTTTTTTTTCGATTTTTCAATTGTTCTAAATTTTTTCCGTCTACCGTACTCCACTCCTTCGAATAGAACTCTTTTTCCATATTCTCCAAATAAAAAGAAAATGACATCACTTTTTTCTCATAGTCAATGTGTTTATTTTTACGATCAACACACATATCAATACTGTCGGCTCAGTTCAAAGAGGAGACCCTGGGAGCCGCTAAAAAAGAGCACATGACCTAGGGATTTTTTTTTGTTGGAAAATTCAGATTTTTTGTAATTTCGAAATTTCAAAAAATTGGCCAAAAATCAGCAGAAACTGAGAAAAAATTCTCAAAAATTAGACATTTTTTGGTTACAGTATTATTTTTCTCTCGAAATTTACAAATTTCCCCTTTTTAACTCAAAAATTTCTATTTTCGATTTCTCAGAAATTTGAAATTTCCTAATTTTCTAGGTCATCAAAATCTTGAAGATCCACGTTTTGACCCCAAAAATTTGCTGTTTCAAGCCTTCCTGTCACGTGGAATGATGACAAATCACCCAGATTTTGTTTTGATGCTTTCCAGAAACTTCAGTTTTTTGCATCATTTTAAGTGTTTAAAATTAGAAGAAATTCACAAATTTCGAAAAATTGAATTCAAAAAATCTGAGATTTTTTCGCCTTTTCTTGTTAAAAAATTGAATTTACTGCGAATTTTGTGATTAGAAAAGGCGAAAAAATTTCAGAATTTTTAAAAATTCTAGAGCTTTTTCTTCAATTTTTCAATTTTTTTGAGTCGAAATTCCTATTTTTCCTATTAAAAATCATGTTTTTATAGTTAAATGATGCAAAAATTGAAATTTCTAGGCATTTTTTTTGGTTCTCCTCATCCCTATTTGCTCAAACTTTCCATTGTTTTCCTCTAACCACTCTCTCAACTTCCCACGTGGCGGATCAAAGGGAGTAATGGATACTAAGTAGACGATGGTGGCAGAAAACCGATTTTTTTTTTGAAAAGAAGAAGTTCAAATAGTTTCTCCACCTCCCCCGAATCATCGCTGCACTCTAATCCCATTTGACGATATAAATGTGAAATTTAGAATGACAGAGAGCCTTCGATTTCTCATCTTTTATTAGTTCTGTTGGAAAAATGTTTGAGTTTTTGACTCAAAAAATTGGAAAAAAGTCAAAAGTTGTTAGTTTTTTTGCTGGGAAAAAATTGAATTTTCGGCATTTTTTTCTCTATTTTTCATCCATTTTCACTAGTCTAACACTCTATTTTTCACTCTTTTTTCACTCGATCTTTACTTTTTTCTTTTAATTTTTCTTTTTGTTTCAAAGTTTGAAAATCTGACATTTCCATTTTTTCCAGAAGCTGCCCCAAATCACTCAAATCACTGTGAAGATGTCAATGATGGATAATGTTGCGGAGAAGGGCGGCATTTTCGACGCGCTACGCGTCGATTCCAACGATCCGAACGATTCGTTGAGAGAGGAAGCGTCGACGACGCCGAAAATTGATGAGAAGAATTGTAAGTGACCCAAAAACAACGAAAAATAACGTCAAAAATGACCCAAAAATCACATATTTTGAGTCAAAAAAACGTCAAAAATGACCCAAAAAGCACAATTTTTTGAGCCAAAAATCAACAAAAATGATAATTTTTGGGTCGAAATTCAGTGGAAACGAGGATTTTGGATCCAGCAACCGGCAAAAAAGCTTAAAATCTGAAGTTTTTATCAGAAAATCTAGTCGAAAGCCATAATGTTTAATAATATTTAGCTGGAAAAAAGGGCGGAGCTTAAAAAAAAGATGCCACGCCCCTTTTCTTTCCGAACACAGAATTCTCTGCTGACGATAGCGATCTTTAGTCTCTCTCTCTCTCTCTCTCTCTGCGCTCGTTCCTATAGGCTCCGCCCACTTTTCGGACTCTGCTTTTTTTTGCTTGCAAGCGGCGGCGACGGTAGTGTTTCGTTTTTCTGGGATTCTCAATTTTCAAACATTTTGAAAATCAACAATTTTAGGATTCTGAGATATTGAGATTATAAAATTCTGAGAATAAGCTTGAAAATCTAGAAATCTGAAAGTCCTGGAGTCATAGAACTTCAGAATCTTATTCAGAATTCGGAATATCAGTACCTTCTGACTTTTATTCCTAATTTTGCAGTGGAATACATTGGAGAAGTGCTGGAACGCAAGAAATCGGTGGTTCCCTTCCTCACCCAGACGATCAATCAACTCGCATTGGTGAGAAATGAGAAAATGGAACGAGCTGCTGATCTGATTTGTACGCTCTTTCGTCTCCCGCACGGATCAACTGATTGCTCATTCTTCCGACTGATTAAAGTGCTCCGATCGTTTGGAATATGGGAGAATGATCCACGTCTCAAACAGATGTTCGATCGAATGAAGAAGCATGACGAGGAGAATGAGGACTCGAGACAGTGGGCAATGTCACAGGAGAAGTTTAAAGAGTGAGTTGTTGGAGCTGAAATGCTCTAAAAATTAGGAAATTAGCTCAAAAAATAGAGTAGTTCATTCGTTCTCAAAACAGTGGCCTAGAAAATTGACTTTTATGATTTCTAGGTCACTAATAGAAACCTTTTTGAATGCTGGTTAAGCCTAACCATCTAAAAAGTTTTCTAGGGATTTTGAAAATTCAAACATTCTGATTATCAACCGAGATACGAAAAATTCGAGTTAGTGGCCTTGAAATTGGGGTTTCTAGGCCACCAAAAGTACAGTACTACATTTGCTCTTGCGCCTTTAAATGTCCCTTTAATTTCCAGAATAATCTTCCCGTGCACAATTCTGATCTCTCGTACACTCCGCAATCAGCTAATTATTCCGTCGTGGCTCGAGTTCACTCAAATGATCGACACAATTTTTGAATCATGTCGTGAATCCAAAGAAGGTGAGCTATTATGTTTTTATTGCGACCTACAGTACTTATTTTGTCGTTAAAGTTACTCAGAAGGGGTACTGTCGCAAGAACGAGCTTAAAAATCCCCGTGTTTGCAGGCGAAGTGGCTTCGTACATTCCTCAACTGGCTCGACAGAGTCCACACACATGGGGAATGTCGATTTGTACGATTGACGGACAACGATTCTCGTTGGGTGACTCAAAAAAGAACTTCTGCCTTCAATCCGTCTCCAAAGCGTTCAATTATGCAATCGTCGCTTCGGAAATCGGATCACACGTACTTCATCAATATGTTGGACACGAGCCAAGTGGACGGCTCTTCAATGAGATTTGTTTGGATTCTAATAGTAAGTGAATGAAATTTTGATTCTCCAAACGCTTTCAATTTTCCAGACATGCCCCATAATCCACTGATCAACGCTGGAGCGATCGTCGTCACCTCAATGATCAAACCGACGCATTCGATGGCGGATCGTTTCGATTTTATGCTCAAACAGTACAGAAAACTTGCCGGTGGTGGACATGTCGGATTTGATAATGCTACGTGAGTCTTTTTGTGCAGTGGAGCGCACTTTCTGCGGTTTAAGAAAAAATCATCCTTGCTCCAATGACGATATTTCTTCAGATTCCTCTCGGAACGAGACACGGCCGATCGAAACTACGCTCTATCGTACTACATGAAAGAGTATCGATGCTTCCCAGACGAATCTCAGGTGTATGAAAAGGCAAAGGTTTTTCTTTTTTCGACCCCAAAATATTAGCTTTACATGTGAATCACACTCGGTTTACCCTAATCCTTATTGTTGGTAATGTAATTGCAAATTTGCTCTAACGCACCTATAGATAGGCTCCGCCTCTTTAAAAGCAGCGCGCCTCAAGCTTGCGTTGGGCGGAGTTCAGTGGAGCGCATTTACATCACCGTGTATGTGTCTAGTCGAAATCACTAACGTATAATACAGTACCTCAGTGGAAGATAGTAAATTTTGGAATTCTAAAAAAGTAGACCAGAATTTTCAGATTTGGCTGAAAACCTCAAAACTATTTGAGGTTTTTTTCAAGCTATGTGCCTTTAAAGATGTGAAGGTGTTTTTGAAGGCGCATACCTCAAAAATTACAAAAATGAAGCTCTATTTTTGGTCAGTATATTCTGAGACTTGAGACAAATTTACTAATTTCAACTGGGAAAAATCAGTATGGTTTTTCCGGGGTACTGTATATCATTATTCTTCCTTCGTTCCACTCCTTGGTTTTGCGCCAATTCCCACTTCCATCTCTGACCATCTCCTATCTTCACAGGGACTTCGTGAGGAGCTCGACCTATATTTCCAATTGTGCTCATTGGAAACCAATTGCGACACCGCGGCGGTGATGGCTGCCACGTTGGCAAACGGAGGAATCTGTCCGCTGACGACGGAGAAGTGTCTCGGATCCCGCCCATGTCGTGATATTCTTTCGTTGATGTACTCGTGTGGAATGTACGATTACTCCGGAAAATTTGCGTTCCAGGTGAGAGTCACTGTTGGTTACTGTACCTACAGTAATCCTAGTTTTCTAGAAAGTATATCTCTAGATGCCTACTGTAATCCTCATCATGTATGTTGAAAATTTATTTAGGGCAATAGGATTACTGTAATTTCTTTTGAAGTTCCTACCGTAACCCATTTTGGAATTTTTGGGTTACTGTAATCCTTGGAACCTAACCTACTGTATCTACTGTATCATAAATAATTGCCAATTTCATTTCAAAACACGAAAAGCTAAGATTTCTAGAATCGGAAATTCGAAAATCTGAAAATTCGTATTTCATAGAATCTTAGAACCCCAGAATCTGAATCTGAATTTTGAGCATCCAAGATTTCAAGAATCCTAAATATCAGAATTTCAGAATTTAGGATTATAGGAAACTGAGAATCTTGGAATCGCAGAATCTCAGAACCTCAATATCTATTAATCTAAGAAACTAGGAATCTAAGAATCTAAGATCTAGAATTCTAAAACTTCTAGAAACCTCAAATTCTCAGAATCTGAAATTCCCGAAATTGAGATCTCAGAATGTATAAATCATTTATTTTTTCCAGGTCGGACTTCCAGCGAAATCCGGAGTCTCCGGTATAATGATCGTTGTGATTCCGAACGTGATGGGCATCGCTCTCTACTCTCCACCACTCGACAAGACTGGAAACTCGTGTCGTGGTGTTGCATTCTGTCGTCAACTCATCGACCAGTTCAACTTCCACAACTACGATTCGCTGCTGCATCCGGACGACTCGCGTAAAATCGATCCGCGACGAAAGATCGGTCCACGTGAGAACGAGACGATTGTGCAGGTCAGATTAGTCGAAGAATTGAGTTTTTCTTTTGCCGACTAAACTTGACTGAATATTGATTCTTTTTGGGGTTAAAATGGGTTAAAAATGATTATCATTGACCTAAAATTATCATTCATTACTTTTTTTCTACCGTTTTTTCTTTTCACGGTTTAAGATGGTTTCAGAAATGATGTTTTTTGTTTGAAATTTTTCCTAGTTCATTTTGGGATCGATATTTTTCGACCCACTAAAATCAAAATGATAGGATTTGAAGAGCACCAAAAGATGGTTCAAAGTAAAAAGCTGTATCTTCTCTATGAGAAAAGTTAAAAGCTATGACCTTTTTCATAGTCTTGGTACAGCTTTTTAAATAGCCTCATCTTGTAGTGCTCTTCAATTTCTACAATATCGATTTTAGTAGGTTCGAAAGTATTGATCCTGAAAAAAGTCATGGCCGTTTTGAGCTCTTTCATTTGTCGGCATTTTTAACCTTCATTTACTCCCTTCTAACACCTTCTTTTCACTGACCTAACTTTCCACAAATCCCTGAATTTCTAGGTCATGTACGCGGCGAAGAACGGAGATTTGGATTCGCTCCGTCGAATGTTCATGCAAGGAGCCGATCTGAAAACAGCCGACTACGATAATCGTACGGCTCTGCACGTGGCAGCCGCCGAGGGACGAATCAAAGTTTGCAAGTTTTTGGTGAATATCGTTGGAATTCCGCATGATGTCAAGGATAGGTACGTTTTCTAGGCCATGTGTTTGAATTTCCTAAAGAGGTGCCGTTCTATTAAAGTATTTACTGTATTTTGAACCACAGTACACCATTTCCAAACATTTTCCAGATGGGGACGCTATCCACTCGACGACGCACGTCAATTCAAGAACAAAGAGGTGGCTCTCTACCTATTCCGTCTCCAATACCCCACAAAACGAATGCCAGAGAATTGGTTCGAAGTGGGCGGAGACTTATTGGTGTCGGAATTGGAAAACGCCGCTGATAAGTGAGTTTATTTCATATGTGATGACCCGAAAATTTTAGTTCCAGCATCGATGACAACGTTGAGAGTTCTGGTGAGGATGAAGGAATTACTGGAATGTTGACGGATGATTTGGAGAAGAGAGAATGGGCACTTCATGCCAATGGAAATATGGGTTAGTGTCTTTTTTCTGGGGTTACTAGAGTTTCTGAAGATCTAGCTTTTACAGTAATCTTGCCACTTTTTGTAGGGTTATTGTACTTGACATTAAAATTACTGTAGACTGAGCAATCCCTAGATTATGGTACCTCTAGCAGTCTTTTCTAACTTTTAGAAGGATAACAGCACTATGGATTACGGTATTTTTTGACAGCTCGGGACTGCACTTATGGTAACCCTATCATTTCAAGAATCATTGGATTATTGTATTTTTTCTGGGATATTACCGTAGCCCGACTAATGTCAATTAATTTCGTTTCTTTTTGAAACGCGTTTAGAATTTTCCGGATTACTATAATTCCTGTAAAACTGACAAAACGAGATTACTGTACCTTTGGAAGACTGTAGGTTTCAAAAAGGCCAGGATTAATATATTTGAGGAACAATGTAATCTACTGACTACTGTACTTACCGTGACTTTCAAGCTATATGAAAGTTTTAGGATTACTGTAGTTTATAGATTATAGCATCTCAGAATACAGTAGCCTCAGTTTGTAACCATATCACTTTGAATTTTTTAGATTACTATAGTTTCTAGAAAGCCAGGAACACTGTTCTTATCATAGACATTCCAGGAGAAATCAACTACCAGCTGGTTCGCCGAAAGTCATCCAAAGCTCCGCCCACTCCCGAACAAAAACCCCTGACATTTGGATACGGATCCCTAGCCAAACATCACCCGGAAAAGCAGCACCACCACGAAAAGAAGAAGCATCATGCTCCACAGTCCCAACACGAGCCACCACAACATTTATTCCATAACGGAGCAGGAGGACATCATCTGAATGGAAATGGAGTGCATTCGAATGGACATCATCATCTGCCGAGCCACGTGATGATGCTCAATGGAGCAGCCGGTGGGCTCAATTCGAGACGGCTCAGTTCGCCAATGGAACAGGACGAGGATAATGTGCGTAAAAGCTCCAGTTCACAGGATTTGATGAAATCTCTGGATGTTTAAAAATCCTGTCGTTTTTTATTGTTTTTCTAGACGAAATTTTGATATTTAAAATCTCGGGTTACTGTAGTTTATGGAGAGCTAGAGGTTACACTAGCTAGGAGCTTTAGAATAATGAAGAAATAGCTGGGGTTACTGTAGATTCTGAAAAATAAAAAGCATAGGATTACGGTAGGTTAGGCATACTGTAGTCTGAGCAATCTCTTGCAAAACTCTAGTAGCTTATATCTACTTTCTAGAACGATAGCATTACGGTGTACTCTAGATTACTGTAGTTCCTGGGATTTCAAGATTACTGTGCTTACCGTAACCCTAAGGTTCCTGTAGTTTGCTCCGGATTACTGTACCTGCTACAACAATCTGAAAGTCCTAGGATTACTGTAGTCTCATAGATTACGGTACACATCTCAGAATCTACAGTAATCTTATAGTTATCTAGCTACCGTAATCCTTTCTGGACGCCCACTACAGTAAAATATCACCGTGGGTTACTGTAGTTTGTGAATCTCTAGAATTTATGGTTGAGGGTAACTGTACCTACTGTAACCTTACTACTACAGCAGCCGGAAAGTCTTACGATTACTGTAGTTGCTAGGGGAGAGCTACTGTGTCTACCGTAACCCCTTACAGTAATCCTCAGTGAGCCATCCTCACCATTCTCTCATTTTTAGGAAATCGTGGTGGTGCTAGTTAATCGATCCAAAGAGATGTTAGAAAAATCAGCCAGGTTTGACCTAGTTTTAGCAAGTTTGCCCTATTGATAATATCCCTTTTTGGTTCTATTAACACTGTCTCTAGCAAGCTCGATGAAAATGCGCTCTATTGAACAAGTCCAATAGAGCGTATTTGCATCATTTTTAATCATAACTCCCTGATTTATCGATTTACCGATTATTTTTTTTTACTTTCAGAGGGATTGAATCGCACCCGAACATTGAGAACATGTCGTGAATTAAATGAAAGCTTACTACAGAAACAATATATCGTTTTATCCAGAAAACATTTTTTTATCTTTCGATTTTCATTGTATCCCATTCTTTTTTCCTCTATATTATCTGACTACGTATCTTCTGGATACCCCCAAATTGATTCCCTTTGAAATTTCACCCCCCAAAACCGGTCATTCCCCATAATTTCAGTTCTTTTAATGCCTGTGCCTTATTTTTGTTGTTTCCCGTTTAGATTGATCTACAGTAATCCTTGGAAAATTTCAATTTTTTGGGTTACTGTAGCCAGTGAGGTCATCCTGTTCCAGAACTACAGTAATCCAAAGCCTTTCAAGCTTTGGAGCTGGAACTACAGTAATCCAAGCATTGAAGCCTGTCTAGCCATTGGATTACTGTGGTTTTCAGTCTACCGTAACCCAAAATCCATGATTTTTCCTAGGATTGCTGTAGATTGCTCAGCCCTCCCTCCCTTCCCTACCCAAAGCACTCAGATTTTTAGTGCTTTTCAATCAAAAATTGCTTGTTTTTTATCGCCTTTTTTGCTCTTTTTGTGTTCCCCATATCTCTAGAATTTACAAATAAATGATTTTAAAAAACCTAATTCTTCACTATTCTATTCGCTATCAGAGAAAAAAATTACGTTTTCAAATTTTCACGTTGAAAAAAATATTTCTACGTGAGCGCCTGGTTGTTTCTGATGACGTGGAATTTTTGTCCAACAAATTTTTTTCAAAAAAAATGTATTCCAAAAAAATCCGAGAAGGATGCTCTCCGTTTTGAAAAAGGTTAGTTTTTTTGTAGAATTTTGCGATAAAGATCGGGATTTCTGAAATTTTGAAAATTTGAATTTCTGAGATACTGATAATCTAAAAGTACGAAATTCTTAGATTAGAAAATTCTGAAATTCTGGAATTAGGAATTTCTGAAATTCTGAAATTAAGAAATTCAGATGATCAGACATTCAGATATTTGGAATTTCTGAAATTCTAATATTCTGAAAGACTGAAATTTCGAAATTCTGATATTCTAAAATTTTGAATTCCTGAATTTCCGAATTCTGAATTTCTGAATTTCTGGAAATGCGGAACTTCAGAAATCCAGGAATTGAGAAGTTCCACCTTTTCAGAATTTCGGAAATTCTAAAATTCTGAAAGTTGTTTTTGAATTTTGGAAATAAGGAAAACCTGACATCTGGAAGTTCTGAATTTCTAAATGTCTGAATTTCCGAATTTCTGAATTTCCGAATATTCTAAAATCTGGAAACCAGCTATTCTAAATTTTTAAATTTCCCAATTTTTCAGACTTGCGAGAGAGTCGCAGCCTCGAAAGGATCCAAAAAACCCCCAGAGCTTTCTGAATTTCGGGAAAACGTTGAAACCAGGGATAGTGTCAGGTGGCTGTGGACGGCGCATACCGGCAAACCTTGGCAGTCTGCCTCGAAATGTGTAAACCAGAACTATCGGGAAAAAAACTGAACCTAAACTTCTCTAAGACTCATAAGTCTCTAGCGAGCAGAGACGGGGTCGTTTTTGTCTTTCAGTTTTTAAGGGTGGTACAACTGATTAGAACTGCAGAAAGTTCTTGAATTTTGTACCGGCGTTTTGAGTCCCAGATACTGTATTTTGGCAATTCAGCCGGACGCTCGGAAACTGAGGGAGCATTCCGGCTCCATCTGATACGTAAGGTCGTCACGATACTTTTTTATCAAAGGCGAGCACTCGTACCCACCATCTGCAATTTTTCGCCAATAAACCTTGAGGAATCTATCTGGAGCTGGGTGGCTTGTTAGATTCTGCTGATAGGTGTACGGATCCTAGTAACCCTGGGTAAACGTATTATTGCCGTCTCTCGGGTTTCGGCCTGTTTGCAAGCGATACCATTATGGTGTAAATGCGGAGATGGATATTTTGACTGAACCGAAATCCATTAAGCTCTGGGGGATGGGAAGGACAACGATCAGCAGGTACTAATTTTTTTTGGCATTTTGAAATTTTGAAATTCCAAAATTCTGATTAGGAAATGAAAACAAATTTTTTGATTAGGCAAAAAGAGGAAATATAAATGAATTTTTTGGAATTTTTGGATATTGTAAATTTCTGAAATTTGGGCATTTTTATAAGGTTTTGGAGTTTTAGGATATTTCGAAATTCTGGAATTCTAAATTTCTTAAATTCTGAACCTCTAAAATTCTGAAACTCTGAAATTCTAAAATTCTGAAATCCTAAAATTCCAAAGTTCTGAAATTCTGAAATTCTAAAACTCTGAAATTCTAAAATTCAGAATTTCTAAACTCACGAAGTTCTGAAGTTCTGAAATTCCGAACATCTGAAAACCTGAAATTCTGAAATTCTGAGTTTCTGCAAATCTGAAATTCTGAAATCCTGAAATTCCAAAATTCCAAAATTCTGAAATCCTGAAATTCTAAAATTCTGAAATTCTGGAATTCTGCATTTCTTAAATTCTGAAACTCTGAAAAGCTAAAATTTTGAAATTCTGAAATCTTAAAATTCTAAAATTCAAAGTTCTGACATTCTGAAATTCTAAAATTCTAAAATTATAAAATTCTGAAATCCTGAAATTCCAGAATTTTAAACTTACAAAATCGTGAAGTTCTGAAATTCCATAATTCTGAAATTCCAAAGTTCTGTACTTCTGAAATTCCAAAACACTGAAATTCAGAAATTTTAAACTTGCGAAAACCTGAAGTTCTGAGATTCTGAAATTCTGAAAATCTAAAATTCTAAAGTTCGGAAATACTAAAATTCCAAAATTCTGAAATCCTGTAATTCTAAAATTCCAAAATTCTTAAATTCTAAACTTGCGAAAACCTGAAGTTCTGAGATTCCGCACATCTGAAGACCTGAAATTCTGATATTCTGAATTTCTGAGATTCTGCAAATCTGAAAATTCAGAAATTCTAAAATTCTGAAATCCTGAAATTCTTAAATTCAAAAATTCTGAAATCCTGAAATTCCAAATTTCTAAAATTCTGAAATTCTTAACTTATGAAATTCTGAAAATCTGATAACCCGAAATTCTCAAACTTCTCAAGTTTTCATATTTTTTGCAGATATCACAACTTGACAAGGCTGATGTGTCCAGCGGATCCAACGGAGATCGAAACGATTCGATGGAGCTCAAAGTGAGAAGAAAAAACTATTTTAATATTTTTGAATTTTACTGATTTTTTCGAATATCTTTGAATTCTGTTATTTGGAAAAACAATTTTTTTTTGGAAGCCTCAAACTCTCACAATTTCAGAACGCCTTTTCCAACAGCTCCATAGACGTTTCCACAAAATCCGAAAATTGGGACAACCACGGTGAGAAGAATGAAAATTTTCGAAAAATTATTTTTAAAAATTTTCAGAGGGACTTGGACTAACCCGAGAGATGTGGATAAATTTGGCCTGGATAATTATTTGAACTTCATTGATTTTTTTGTGTTCTCTTTTTCTTCGGTTGTCGTTGTGTTTTGGGGATTTGGTGTCGGGTAATCAGTCATTTTCTCGGAAAAGCAGAAAATTAGACTAGAAAGCTCAAAATTGGACTAAAAACAAAGATTGGTCTAAAACAGATAATTGGACTAAAGCAGATAATTGGACTAAAGCAGATAATTGGACTAAATAGTAGGAAATAGGACTAAAATCTGTACATTGGACTAAAACATGGACTTAAGTGTTTGGACTAAAACCTGGAAAAGTGGACTAATAAAAATTACAATGGTCGAAAACAAAGACAAGAATGTTCCAAAAATGGTTTAAAAATAATGATCAAAGGTGAAAAGTGAAGTTTATGATATCGGGAAATCGAAATATTTTAAAAATTGACTAGAAAATTGGACTAACGTTAAAAAAAATTGGACTAACGTTAAAAATTATGTTAAAAATTGGAAGTGTTTTTGACTTAAATTTAAATAAGAACTTTCAAAAAAATCTCTGGTCAAAATAAAGCAAAAAATATAATGGTCAAAAAATTAATGTCAAAAACTAAAAAAAAACGATTATAAACGATAATAAACGATTTAACTTGGATATGTTGTTGTTTTGTTTCAATGTTTCGTCCGCATAATCTGAATTTGAAATAAGCTCCGCCCCTCTTTCATGGAATCATGGAAAAAATCTGAAAGGGGCGTGGCTTAGAATTGCCTCACAACTTGGGGTGATAAAATAGAAATATTATAGAAAAATAGCTCTCGGAAGAAATCAAAAGTTCCTGGGAATCAGAAATTCTGGAAATTCGTAAAACTGAAATTCGAAGAAATTCAAGATATACCATTTGACCCATTTTAATAAAACCATTAAAACCATAAAACCATAAAACCATTAAAACCATAAAACCCATTTTGAAAATTCTGAAATTTCAAAAACAAATTTCATAATTGCAGAAACTAGGGATTCGGAGAAATTCTGAAAATCAGAAAAAGCCAGAATGTCAAACATCCAAAAATTGAGAAACTGAATAATTCTGAAATTCTAAAATTCCTAAATTTACAAAAAAAATCAGAAAATCGAAGAAACTTCTTGGAATTTAAATTTGAGGAAATTCTCTGAAATGTTTTTCTCCAAATTTTCCTGTTTTCAAGGACTTTTTTGATTTTCTAGATTTTCAATAAATACGATTTCTCATTACAAAAGGATCTTTAAAAAATTCAAACTTTTTTATTAAATACAACTTTTTGTGTAAAAGATAAACAACAAACTCTGGGAAAGGGGAAATTTTGGGACATTTTCCAAAATAAAAATTAATCACAAAATAAAAATTGGGACCAGTAAAAGTTTTTGGGGCGAAGATTTAAAAAATTGGGTGGGAAAGACACTATACAGTCGACATGAGCAAAGGCACGGAAAAGGGTTCGGGAAGTTGTTTTTTGGGTTACGGTAGTTTTGGGTTACTGTAGCTGGTAAGGCGTTTCTGTTGTAGAAATACAGTAGTCAAAGCATTTTCCTATTGATTACTGTAGCCAGCAATAGGATTACTCTACCTACCGTAACGCAAAAAGCACAAAAAAACATTTAAAAACGAGAAGAGATACCCAGAATTTGGTAGAGCGGTTAAATAAGGAAAAAAGACGCGCACCGAAGTTTCGAGATAAAGTCAGTTTCAAATTTTTTTTGAAAATTTAGGAGAAATGGGTTACTGTTTTCTAGTACTTGGTGGCGGCATATTTATTATTCGAGCCGCCGGAGCTCGAGTTTTGTCGATGACGTCCGCCGAGTGTGTAGTATCCGGTCGGATCGTTTGGATACGAAACGTATGGAGTCGTTGATGGAGGACGTGATTGAACTGGAGCTTGTGGTGGGACCTCTTCGTGTTGTTGGGAAGCGGGCTTGGAGCCGACCTAGAATTTATTTATATAGATGGTTCTCTAATGCTTTTTGATAGCTTTGTTCTTCATTTTGAATGTTTTGTAAAAGTGGATTTCGAATCGAGTTACAAGCTGACTTGACATTTATTCGCTTATGCCTGGCACGTCTGTTTGACAGTCTACTTTCAAAGAGAAGAAGAATCCAACAAGTTTAAAATTTTGTATCATTTTGTAAAACTTTTTAAGAGCTACATTTCACACTTTGAAAATCCAAAAATATTGTGTTCTAAAAGAGTTATGAGCCTTTGAGCAAAGCTGATTACCACCTAAATTTTTAGGTCTCAAAAAGAGTTAAAATTTAGGTCTCAAAAATATCTGAAAAGTGAAGTAAGATACCACTATCTCACCTTCGAATACCACTCGGCATAGGTGGTCTCACCGACTCCTCCCGGTGGTCCTTCCATATTTCCGTTCGGGTCAACTGCTCCGGCCCCTGGAGCTCCGGAAGCGTTGGTGACCTTTGTAGATGCTACAGTGGTTTGAGAGTAGTATCGTTGCGGATGGTGGTAGGAGGCGTTTTCGAATCCTTGCTTTTCACCCACTGAAAAATTGGAAATAGTGATTTAAGAACCCTAATAATCATAAGAATTTAAATAAAAATTAGAATTCTGTGAATCCCAAGGATCTGAAAAATCCTGAGAATCCAAAGAATCTAAGAATTCAAAAAATGGAAGAATCTAAGAACCTAATTGAAAGGACTTAAGAACCTAAGAATCTCGGAATCTCAGAATATCAAAATCTCAGAATTCCAGAAACTCAGAATCTCAGAATCTTAGAATCTAGGAATCCTAAGGATCCTAAAGTCCTGAGAATTCTAAGAATCCAAAATCTAGGCACTTACACATTCTCGCGGCATATGACATATGATGATCAGCGACTGGATAGTGGGTCTGAAAACGGTATTATCAATGGAGCAAACTTTCCAACTACCACTTACATAGCTTCTCTTCTTGCATCCCTTACAACACAAAAAGCAAATGCATGTCACAGCGATGATAGAAACAACAGTGCACAAAGCAATGATACCAATATTTCGCCACATTGCGGTATTCTGGAAAATGTCCTCTTCGGATGGTGCAGTTGTTGTGTCGACCTCGGTGACTCTAACAGTGGATGGCTCGATTTGGAATGCTCCAATCGGTCCGCGAACTGCGTTTTCTTCAACCATGGATTTTATTTCCATTGTCTTGGCGGTGTCTTCAGAGGCCACAACTTCAAACTCGGCAATAACAGATCCCTTCTCGTATCCTAAAATCTTTGAAACTCGCATTCCCTTCCATCGCTTAGCCAGCAATTCGTCAATGGACATTGTGACTTCCTTAGTGAATTCTTGATAGAATCCAGTCTTCGGATCGTTGAGAGCATCGGTGAATTCTCTGTTAAGAATTCTGACACGAAGTCCGTAGCGACGTTTTGGCGATACTTCTGGCTCGTAGACAGTGTAGGATGGCTTGGTGGACATTGGTGGCATGAGGACTTTGGTAGTTGGGCGAGTTGATCCAGATCCAGAGGTGGCGACCTTTTTGATAGCAGTAGTGGTAGTCTGTTCGGTGGTAGTTGGCATTTCTGTTGAAGTAGTGGTAGTATCCTTGACAGCAACCTTCTGCTCCGTACACTTATTCAAACAAATCTTCGACTTGGATCTCAGTGGTGTCTCCTGATGTTTCCGAATCTCTCCATTCTTCTCGATAACTCCGCCGAATGGAGAATACAACAAGAAGACGCATTCCTGAAGATCGACATCGAATTCATCGTCACTGTGAAGTTCACGAGAGAAGTTGGCAGTTAAGAATCCATTGACATAGGTGGTCTCCACATCGAAAATGTCTTGTTGCTCATCGACAACTGGTCTACCGTAGTTTGGCATGAACTGGTCGGTTACCATCACTGCGTTGTTCTGGATTCCAATCACTACCGCATCGGCTGCAGCCATATTTCCATCGGTGGAGAATCCGAGAGCTGTCCATTGGCTAGTTTGGAGAGCTCCGTGGATCGAGAATCTGGCGACAGAGCCGTCAGAGATCCAGGAGATAGTGTAGAGACAATCGTCGGATTGGCATCCTTCGGGGTGGCGGATGGATCCCTCACAAGTTGATTCCAAGTGCATTCCGTGGACTGTTGGGGAAACCTTGGCTTCTGATTCCGATTCGGAGGGTTCAGAAGTCTCAGAAGTGGTCTCAAAGAAGTTGATCGACATAACACCTCTTGCATTCTTTCCGTGATACTTCATAGCATTTGCGAAGAACTCTGGCGACGCCTGAATCGGAGCACCACCTGTGGTATGCACGTAATTCATCGGATCAGCTCCCTTGGCCCAGATCACTGTCATTGGAGCATTGACAAACGAGTTGTCCCATTTCTCCTCAGCCTCCAATTTCTTTCTAAAGATCAAAGTAGTGACTCCATCCTCCTGGAAAGCAGCAGCTGACGTTAGCGAGTTCTCTCCTCCAAAGAATGTGTCCTCCATTGGTGTGGCCTTGGATGGAGAATACATATCCATAATACGAGCACGTCCATTGGCAACCATTCCAACTACCATATCGGCACAATGCATAGCGCTAGTGGCGACTCGGGTGGCTGCTCTACGAACTCGTCTCGAGATTGGAGCCTTGGTTTCATGAGCCACTGCTTTGCCGGACTTGTCGCATAGGCAGATCTTGGCAGAAGAGACTTGAGGTTGGACTTGATCATGGTATCCGATTGGAGTCTTTGGATTTGTGAAGTCCGAACTCTTTCTAGCCAACACTCGTCCACCACCAACTGGGAACAGAAAGTAGTGGCATTCATCGAGAGCTACATCTGTCTTGGTATCCTTTGAAATAAGTTTTCGGGTGAACCAAATAGTTTGCATGTCGTCTTCGACTCGTCCTCCGAGGTTGTAAATATCTTGACGATCGGCTGGATCGATAGCTGGGAGTTGTCTGCCATACGCGAATCGATCAACGATGTACGCCTTTCCATCGAAGAACCATCCAGTGTACATATCAGCATTTGTCATCTGTCCATCTCTAGAGAATCCGATACCGGTCCATCTTCCAGGAGTCTTCGCGGTGATTTCGAAAGTTACTTCGTCCGATGTCGCATTCCATTTTGCAATGTAGTCACAGTCAGTGCCAGTGCAAGACTCTGGGAAGCGGTATTCATTGGTACAGGTGCTTGGGGCCGATGACGTAGTTGACTTCTTCTTCTCTCCTCCAGAACAGCTTCTAATACAGACTGGCTTGTCTGACGCCAATGGAGTGCTCAGATGAATTGATACATTTCCATACTGATCCAACTTTCCTCCTGCAATTGGATAGAGCATTCTCCAACACTGTCCATCGTTGAATTGCTTATCAGTCGAATCTCCAGTATTCACTTTTCTGGTGAATTGAGCTCTGAGAACTCCATTCGCGTGTGCTGCACTGCTCGACTTGACATTCTGCACCAAATCCATTGCTGGCTGATCATATCCTCTGCTCTGCATATCATTCAACTGAATCTTTCCTCCTCTGCTTGACACAATGATCATATCGGCGTCGAGCATTGTACCATCCTTACTGAATCCAACACCAGTCCAAGAGTTATCTGTGACACGGGTTTCTAGAGAGAACTCGATTTCATCTGAGTCCTCTTGATAGTTCCATGAAAGCTTATATTCGCAATCCGAGCATCCGGCTGGATAACGGAAGTCGCCGTAGCAAACGTCACCGTTAACACTTGGTGGTGCGGTTTGAGTTGGCACTGGAGTTGTTGGGATCGCAGTTCGGGAGGTTGTTGTTTGGGCTAAAAATCAATGATATAAAATTTGAACATTTTGGTTGAGAACTTTTCTAGAAAAGGTGTATTTTGTGGCAGAACCCAAAAAATTTAATTTTTCAAAACAAGTCATGATTATACTCATTTTGAAGCCATTAATGAGATGATTACAATGATATAATTTTCATTAAAATCGAATGCACACGAAGAGAGTTATGAGCGATTTTTCCATTTTCGTGGTAGGACCCAAAAATTCAAATATCTCAAAAGTTTGAAAGTAAGCCATGGTTACACTTATTTCAAGCTTTTGACAATCCAATTCGGATGGTATAATTATTCCAAAACTTGGGCAAAAATAAAACGAGTTATGACTCTTTTCCGACTTTCGTGGCAGAACCCGAAAATTCCAAAAATTTAAAATGTTATCTTTATACTAATAGTGAGCCCTTATCAAGACAACTCACCATCAGTTGGGCAATCTCCCCAATAGACACATTGTCCTTGTGGGTTTCTCGCATATCCTTGAAGACAAGCACACGCCGCTGACCCACAATCGGTACACTCGGATCTGGTGAAAATCGAAACACAATCAGCCTCACAAACTCTTCCACACTCGTTAAGCGTCTCATTCAAACTGCACTCAGCCACCAACACCTTCTGCGTAGTCTTTGCAGTTTTTGTAGTCTCCACGGTCACCTCATTTCTATCAATGGTACTCTGTGTGGATTCTTCAACCTTTCGCGTGGTGGTCTTCTCATCGCGAAGCTCTGGACAGTCTCCCCAATAGATGCATTGACCATTGTGTCGGACATAGTTGTCAGCGCATGTGCATCCAGGTTTCTCACAACTTGCTGGGCATGGTGCAGTGTCATACATATTGGCACAGGTTGGCTCACAAGCGGTTCCACATTTTGCCCAAGTTGAATTGGCAGCACAACTCTCCTCATTCTCAACAGTCTTATCACAGAAATCAAAAGGAACACAGACTTCTTGATCGTTGGCCATTCGGACGAAACCCTCTTTACAGATGCATCTAGGGGTACCACAAGAGTTTGGACAGTTTGGAGTGGTCTCTGGGAAATGGGTCCAATCACAAGAGTGCTCGCATTCTCGAGAACTCTCCGGACACTCTGACCATTGCTCATTTGGTCCGCATTCTTGCTCGCCTGCGTCGTTTTGCTCGCGAGATGTGACATTTGTGATGATTGAGGAGATCGTGGAGGTGGCTGAAGATTCAGTGGATGGGGAAACATGTCGATTGGCAAAGTCGGCGGCAGTTAATTCACACGTGGCATCTGGACTCTTCCATCCGAGTGCAATCCATGATTGTCCGGGATAACGAAGGACGAATTCGATTTCGTCTTTGAGAACACGCCAGTAGATTTTGTTGCCTTGATCCTCGCGTTTCTGATAGAGAGTTTCGTCGAAATCGGCGACTGAACGGATGCTGTCGGATTCTGGAAAAAAGAGTTTGATAATTGGAATATTTTGCATTTTTTTGTTTTATAGTTTTCTAGAAAGCTCAAATAATTCTGCGGAAATTTGAAACCAATCTTTTGAATTTCGGAATATCTCGCAATTTCAGAATTTCAGGCACTTCAGGATTTTCTTAAATTTTTAATGTTCTAGAATCACTGAAGTTCTAAACTTTAAGAATTTCCGTATTTCTTGAATTTTCAAAATTTCACAATTTTCTTGGAACTTCTGAAATTTTGAATGAATGGAAATCTGAATTTCTAAACTCTTATTTTCGAAAGAAAAGTTCAAGTCCATCTCTGTAAATCTGTATATCCAGGTGTCCCTCCAACTAACCAAGTTCACAATTCTTTCCATATCGACTCGTCGGGCAGAAGCACTGTCTTCTCGGCGCATCTCCACCCAATCTACAGTATCCCTGGACTCCACAATCATCGTCTTCTTTGCATTCATCTTGGAATTGACACTCGTTTCCAAAGAAACCATCAAAACATTGACATTTTCCATTCATTCTATTTCCATTTCCAACACAAGTATCACCATCTGGAATCTCATTTACGATATTGATATCGGCACAGGAGAAGAAGAAATAGGAGTTTCCGTATTCGGTTGCTTGAGTCGTCATTCGAATCGCACAGTCTTTGCACTCGAAGTTTGGCGGGAGTTCCACCTTTTTCGTCGTTTCTCTGAAAATTATTCATCATTAGAGAACCTTTGGAACCTTTTGAGCCTAAATTCTAGGAGTTTGCTCGAAAACTAGCCGAGTTATGGTTTTGTGAACTTTGAAACCTACCAACTTGTCCCAAATTATAACTTGATTAATAGCTGAAACTCTGATAATACTGAACATATAATTTTCAAAAAATATCCGTCTAAAACTAGCAAAGTTATAGGTAACTTAGCTGTGAGGTCCCTTAAAGTCTACATACTTCCTTCATTTCTGAGCTACTGAACTATAAAAATAGGGCTAAAAGAATTTGAACCATATTAAGAACAAGATTCTGCAACTTACGTGACATTGAAGGCGTCGTTGAAGTTGGTGAAAATGGCGATTGGCTCGTCAGACGAATTCAAGACTTCCAATCGGATTCCTCCCTGAAAAAGTTGATTACAAAGTGCTGGGACATAAAAGAACGGTTTTATCAAATTTCTGGCGATACAAATCTTGAGCTACCCGGTCACAAGTTTCCCACTTAACTTTCAACTTTGAGCACATTTATCTCGGTTCCTGTAGAAGATATCAAAAAGTAGTCAATTGATGGAATGTTTATCATAATATCAAAAATATTTTATTAGTTGATCACTTTTTGATATCTTTCACAGAAAATGAGATAATTTGGTTTAAAATTAGCAGACATTCTATGATGTTAGCAGACATTCGATGACGGGTTACAACTAGATTTATGCTCCCAAGTTTCTCAATTTTTTTCAAAGTTCCCCCATTTTGAATCCCAAATCATATATCTTCTCAACACCCCAGGAAATCGAAACCTCCTGTGGGGTTCCTCAATTAATTTATTTTTCCAATCTGTCGAAAATCCCATCCAATGATCCGTGCCTACATATTTTTTTCTGTCTTCTCCTCTCTCACTAGTCAATCTCTTTTCTTTTCAATTTCTCAAAAATCTAGGTCATTTGATTGCGACGGCGGCGAATGAAGAATTTTTTGGATTTCTCATCACTCGAAAAAAAGACAACACAAGCAACATCAAAATCTCTTAACCCAGTTCATTTTAACGGAGAAAAATCAGAATTGACTCTTGACGTTTTTTTCGGTTTGAGACAACAAAAATAGTCTGCGAAAGGGATTAGATAACAAGTCAAGCACGTTTTTTGGCGGAAAACCAGATAGGTCAAGTCAAAAGGTGGTCTTCCCAACTGATGTGTCCTTTTTGAACTCAAAAACCAAAATAACAGAAATTGAAAGTTACCACTATTTTTTTGATTCCTCATACCTTTTTACCCCACTCCTGAAACTTTCAGCTCTCTAGCTCAAAGTGTCGTCAGATGTGGTGTATTGTCTGCAAATACCAAACTACTGTAACACCAAATCTTACGACACTTTGAGTTAGAAAGCTGAAAATTTCAGGATAGGGGTAACAAAATATGAAAAATTTGTTCTTGATTCTATTTTATAGTTTCAGCTCTGAAACCCTAAAAATCCATTTTTCTCAAGTCAAAAATCATCATGAGAATGCGACTTTTCGTGTTTCAAACTCAACGTATCAAAAAACCAAGTTTATCACTAGATTCATCGTATTCTAGTACCATTACCCTGGAATTTTCAGCTCTCTAGCTCAAAGTGTCGTAAGATTAGGTGTTTGCGTACAACGCACCAGAGCTTACGATACTTTGAGCTAGAACTGAAAACTTCAGAGTAGGTGTTAAATTTAATAGGAAATCAAAAAAATTTTTTTCATGATTTTCAGTGAGAAGCTCAGAAAATTGCCTTTCCAAATATTTGACTTTACACAAATCTATCTTTTTTCTAAATTCTCATGAAACGGTCAATTCCTTCCGATTCCCCTCTCTTCAATCCGTCCCTCAAACAGTAGTAATATAAAGTGTATTACATAATAATGCATTCGACCCGAATTGGTCGTTTTTCTCTTCTTCTTCTTCTTCTTCTACCAATTAGTGTCGGCGTTTTCTGGAGGAAAAAGAAGAGGAAGAAGAAGAGGAAGGAATATAGTGGATGGCATTGACCTGATCATAAACTATAGATATCACAGAAGACGCGAGAGGGGGGACTTGTCAATCTTTTTGGTTTTATCTGATGAACAAAAGATTACGGTAGTACATTTGAATGAAGGTCCTAGGAGCCATACAGTCACAAAGTCGAAAATTGAGATCACACATCTGGGGAAAATCGAAATTTGAAGGTCAAAAAGTGTTTTTCAGAGGAATTTTCGCTGTTTCAAACCGAACAAATCAAATTCTACGCCAAAAAAAAACCTATTGAAGCCCGAAGGAATTGAACTTGTGGGTATTCTGCTCCAAAGTCAGATTTCTTACCGGTGGCGCCACTCACATAGCGAAGCGCGGCACCCTAGCGGCGCCCGACGCATCCACCGCGCTCACAAGGATGGCTCAGGCGGGAAGAGGATAGAGTTTGAAGCCAAAAACCCACAAGTTCGATTTCTTTGGAGGTCTATAGGTTTTTTGGGCGTAGAATTCGATTTTTGTGTTTAAAAACGTCAAAATCGCTGGGACACCCCCTTTTTGAATTGGAAAAATGCAATATCAAGAATTTTTTGATAAAAACGTCCAGCTGATGTTTTCATCTGGGTGTAAAACTTTGGATTTCAAAAGCTCGTAATCAACTGGGAAAGGAAAAAAGCGCCCAGATGCTTCTACATATAGACCTTTCTAACTCACCATATGCGGCACGGCGACAAACCAGCTCATTTCAATCGTGGATCCAGCTTTCATGAAGGTTCGGATACCCTCTCCAGGCGCTGGTTTCTTGACTCCACATGGCGGTTGACTATTTGATGAGCTGTAGAAATCGAGAGCCGGTGCTCGTGCCGGTGGATAGACAAGTTTGATGTGTGCTGTGGCTAGAGATGCCAGTAGCAGTGTTAACACTGCTCGTATTAACATTTCTGAAAAAAACATAATAAGGTTGAAAGGAAGTCAGAAGGTCCAGAAAACGGAAAAAAAACGGCGGCACCGAAAACAATTTCAGAATGAGTCATATTTATATTCATTTTGAAGCTCTTAACAAGTCAATTTGAATGATATAAATATCATAAAGTTTGAATGAATATGAAGCGAATTGTGAACGATTTTCCAATTTCGTGGTGGGGTCCAAAAGTTCGAAAAATCGGAATATTTTCTGTTGTTCAAAATATTTTGTTTATACCCATTTTGAATCTCTTCTGAAGCCGATTGAAATGATATAAGTTTCCCGAAATTTGGACAAAAATGAAACGAGTTGGGAGCAATTTTCCATTTTCGTAGTGGGACCCAAAAATCCAAAAAATCCAAAATTTTGAAAATAGGCCATGTTTATATTCATTTTAAAGCTCCCAGCAAGCCAATTTGAATGATACAAGTAACATACAGTTTACATTTATATGAAGCGAGTTATGAGCAATTTTTCGATTTTTGTGGTGGGACCCTAATATTCAAAAAAAACCGGAATTTTTCAAAACTAGTCATGTTTATACTCATTTTGAAGCTCTTAACAAGTCAATTTCAATAGTATAAACATTACCAAATTTGGACAAAGATGAAACGAGTTATGAGCGGTGTTCAGATTTTCAAAACTAAGAAAAGGCATAGTTACAAAAGTGAAATCGAAACTCGAGAAAATTTCAATACTTATACCTCCCAATTGTCAGAAAAAAACCGATTTAGAGGTGTTTCAAGGTAAGTAAGTACCCCCGAGAAATGTAAACATGAACATTTTTTGTTTCGGTTTCAAAAGTGGTTTGGGAGGGAGGGATGAACGTTTTGAAGACGTCAAAAAACTGTGAAATAGGGAAACAAAAAGAAAAAGATTTCTGAGAACGAAAAGTGGTAGAATAACAAGTATTGCGTTGTTGAAAAGAAGCAAAAAAGATTCGGATAAGTTATTGGCATGACAGGATTCTCCACACCCCGATCATATAATGTTTGGGATTTTATAAGATGGATAGGATTGGAAAAGAACAAGTATGCTTTCAAGCATTATGAATCGAGTTTTGGGTTTAGAGGATAGTTTTCAGACGATAAACATGGTAAAGTAGTTCAAATAGTCAAAATCGAGAAAGAAAAAGAAAGAAAACACAAGGATTTTACTAGTTCGAAAACCTATAAACAACATTCTAGAGCAATTTTCGAGGTTCAAGGTCCGAAAAATAAATTCTACGCCCCCAAAAACTTATGTACCCCAAAAGGAATCGAACTTTTGAGTCGTCTGCTTCAAAGTCAGGGCTCTTACCCACTGCGCAGACGAGCCACCGCCGCGCGCGACGCCAACTTGCCGACCGCGCATGCAAGGGTAGCTCAGGAGGTAAAAGAGCTGACTTTGGAGCAGAAACCCCACAGGTTCGATTCCTTTTGAGGTATGTAGGTTTCTCGGAGCGTAGAATTCGATTTTTTGGGGTTTTAAACCTCGAAAATCGTATTGGAGTTCAGTTTTTTAATATGGTAAAATGGAAAATTGATTTTCGAAAAGTTTTTCAAAGCTCTATGAAATCAGAGAGTGACCATCAGTAACAACATCATGGTCATAAAGCAAAAAAGTAGAACATTGGAAAAACAGATAGGAAAGGGGGGGGGGGGCGAAAAAAGATTCGAGATGTCCGAATGATGAGA